GCAAGTGGTGTAAGTGGGATGGGGCAGAAGGACCCCATAAAGAAGCCCAGTTGGTCAAACGGTATTATAAAGTTACTTTTCAAACAAATATTTTCTGTTCACAAAAAAAAAAAAAAAAAAAAAATATTAGATGATTTTTTTCTTTCTTGGCCTAAACTGGGGCTACTTTAGACGCCTAATCATTTTTACATTTCCTTTGCACTCTTTTGGTTCGTCTTTTCTTTATTAGCACTTGCGCAGGTACATAATCACAGCGCACGTTTCTGGCTACTTCGTTTGCTCTGCAAGGGGGGGAGGTGTCCAGGGCGCTGCTATCTGCACAGGTTCGGCTAACTTTGCGCAAGAATGCAAAGGGAAAGGCGTATGTTGCGGCATGCGCAAAGGCATACGTCACGAGCACGCAACTCATACGACCAGTGAAATGTACTTATGGAGAATCTTCCCCAAACGAAATTTACTAAAAGAGGGTACTCTTCAATGGACAACACTGCTATACACGTATGCAGGAAATGCCCACTGAAAGTTCTTCCTTACTTTGTTTAATGCCTTCAAAAAATGGGTTACTTTTTTTTAAAGTAAGAAAAATATTCATTCGCGTAGTTAAAAATATCTTCCTGAATTGGTATGTCAAACATGTACATATATATGTATATATATATATACATACAGTGAATTTATTTATGAAAAAACGAACAGGAAATTATGCGGCAATTACACCATAATATGGCGATAGTTGCGTAGGGGGCGCTCTGTTTAAAAAATCAGTTAAACGGAAATAGTGGGGAAAACGTTTGCACGAAATTGGCGAGCGGGAAAAAAAAGGAAGCAAAAGGGAACAAAAGGAAGGAAAAAAATATGGGCCATTAGTAGGAAAATAAAGAGAACATGGTGACGCATGTATCAATATGCGCGGTGTCATTTTTTCCCTTCGCTTTTTCCTCCTGTTTGTCCCCCTATTTTTGCCCTTATTTTTCCCGAGATTTCTCGCCATTTTCATCCGTTTCGCATTTTTTTCACGCATTCAAACAACTCTATAATAACGAACATTTTTCGAAGAACGTGGCGCATAAATCCTTTTTTTGAAGACCACGCTTTGTGTTTCTATCAGCGAATTTGGGTTGAATTTTCACTTTATTTACTTCATTTTTATCATTTTTCGGTGTCCCTTTCTGTGCCCTTTTGGTGTCCTTTTTTCCGTTTCTTACCCTCGCACAATCGCAATTGAAGTGAACAACGCGTCCCCATTTTGTTCATGCTTACCGGTGTATGCAACAAAACGGAGGATATGAAGTCATTCAGCAAGTCCCGCAGCTCTGGGTGTGTCTCCATGTACTTAGCGTTTTCGCTTTTTAAGTTGTCCTGATGTGGGAAGCAGACCAAATGTGTTTGCAAGTATGTATGCATTGATGTAACCGCGCCGATGTAGGCACATATTATGTGTATATATTTTTTTGCTGTGTGCATACGGTGAACGAGCTTGTGCATGTGGAGAGATACGCGCAAGGAGGTGTTCCCATGCCAGGACACCCCTACTGGGGAATGAATTCAATTCGCACAGGCGGCGCTTGTTGCATATCCATTCGTACGGTCACCACGTCAAGGTTATCCTTTTCAATCAAATTGAGATCCTTCTCTTCCATTTTTATGTAAGTGTGCACTGTGAAGGGAATTACTTCGTTGGCGCGTATCTACTTTAAAATGCGTAAGTGGAGAAATCCATAAGTGGAGAAATGGCTAAGTGTGGCACAAAGCCGGTGAATGTACCTTATTGTGTGTGTTTTTTTTTTTACACACTTCCACGCCTTCACTTTTTTGGGGTACGATTTATACAACGTGGGAGAAGCAAATTCCTCAGTGGAGAATATTTTAAAAAGCGAAACTTCCCACCTGGGTTATACTCCGCTAGCACTATTTAGAGTTTGCATTTGTGCACCATTATACTGTCAGAGAGGCAGAAAGGGTTCCTCCACATATGTTCGCGCGTATACGACATCACTACGTGTCACCTTTTAATGGTCCACGTGAGGCCATTTAAAATGTGCTCCTATGCAAACAGGGCACATTTAAATTGACATTTTTTTTTTTTTAAATAACCCCACTTATAAGTGTTCAAGCGAAAAGACAAAGGTTAATATTTTCAATTGCAGCGAAAGGACAAACACGCGTGTATGGTCCATTAGAGCTCCGTCTCCACTGAGCATATTACGGAAGGCATCCCAAAAAGAGTCCCCGAACGCATGTTCAAAAAAAAAAAAAAGAAAAAAACACTCACTAAATGTACCACACTCTCACTCAAGGTGCCCACTCTATTATAATGACAAAATTACACCCCTTAAGTTACTTCAAGGGAAATAAAATTTTGTTCCGAACCCCTAAGCGATACTACAATTATGAAACAACAAAAAGGGTGATGACTCCACAAAGTCTTTGCCATCATTTTAGAAAACGCAAATGTGCAGAAACAATATATCGATTTTTTTATGAGAATTTCTCAACCCTAGAAAGAAATAATAACCCGGCTGAGGACGAAAATGAACAGCAGGAGGGTAACTGGCATAAGCGCGATTCTTTGAAGACAAGTAGAAAGGGGCAGGTGGGGGTAAACGAAGCAAAGAAGATGGACGAAGCAGAGAACACGGACGAAGCAGAGAACACGGACGAAGCAATAAATGCAACTATGGAGGAAAGTCACAACGAGCTAGATTCGACAGATAATTTATTCCAAGAATTTGGATACAAATATGAAAAGCACGAACCAACCATGTTTGGTGATTGGGCCCATAATTGCAGAGTCACAGATTTTTAGGCACCTGCATTCCTCCTATGATTGGCCTAATATGTATGAGCATAATATGTGCACCCCCCTCATTTGAGGGCTTCTACCGCTGTCCAAGTTTCAACGTTCGAATGGTTGAACAAGGAAGTGCTAGCATTTAGCCCACCAAACGTATTAACATTTCAAATTAGCAGAGCTTCTTAAGTTGATGGGATATTTCCAGTTCACCCATTTTTTGTAGTGTGACTCTTTCAAAAGTATCACGAAAAAAAAAGAGGGGGAATTTTTTAAAACCATCAATTATGACACCTTTGGGAGGAGTCCTTTTTTTGGTGAAGAAACAAGCGAAAGAGATGGCCAGAGGGTGGAAGTACTACTGGGCGCCGAGTTCGTGGCCACCCCCCACACACAGGTAGGATGGAAGGGATATACGTGGGGAAATACAGAAATACGCAGAGAAGTAAACACAGACATGCGCAGAGAAATAAACAGAGACATCCGGAGAGACGTACACCGAGACATACACAGAGGGGCAGACAAACAGACAAACAACCAAACAAACGGCAAAACCAAGCCGAACGAAACTACGACTCGCCGAAAAAGTCGGAGGAAAGCAGCTTCTCAATTCTGTTGAGGACAGAATTACACTTGTGCTCAAAAGCCTTCCCCAAGAAGTTGTCAAAGTCTTTTATTTTATTTTGAATTTCATTTTCCATGTAGGAGATCTGCAAATCTGTGTTGACGAAATTGTCGTTCATGGTTAGCCGTTTAATATAATTCGAATTGACGTTCAAATTGAAATTATTTTCCATGGCGAACTTATCCATGTCGGAAATATTGTTTGATTTATAGGACATCCCTAAATCAAAATGGTTCGAAGTATTTATATCTGAGTGGTGCATAATATTATTAGAGCCGCTCATTAAAAGTTGCGAATCCGTAATGGATGTTGAGAAGTCCTTGCCCATATCTTTGCACATATCATTGGAGATTTTATTTTCCTGATCGAAGGAAAACTCCAGATCGCCACCGTCCTTATGTCCCCCCTTTTCGAAGTTTTCAAAACTGTGCTCTAATTCGTCGTAGTGCATTTTACTGCCCATTTTTTGGTCAACATCTTCATTATGCACGAGAGGTGCATGTGACATTCGAGACGCACGGGACATTTGCGGCACATTGCCATTGTTGTCGTCCGTGGAGAAATAATTCCTACTTTGTTCTTTCTTTAAATTGTGATTCTCAGACGCACGAATGATGTCATTTCGCTGTCTCTTTTCATAATCGTCCAAACTGTTTCGTGATTTCCCCATTTCGTTTTCACCTTGGACTTGTACATTTTTTACACCCCACTTGGTTTTAATACCCTTTTGGAACGCTTGCAACAAATCAGCCTTTTGCTCATCATCGCGGACACAGGTATTGAATTTTTCATAAGGATGTTGGACGTTCTTCTTCGGGGCATATTCACTTCTGTTCAAATGGGGCCTGCTTCGTCTGTTATCATAGTAATGGTTCATTTCATTTAGATCTTTTCTGTTTTGTTGAAATGAGTGGGCTGGTTGAGGTGGTCTCTCTTCCAACCTAGCATTCGAATGGTCCGTGTAGCTCTGCGAATGGTTGGCATACTCCTTCAAATTGTCCGCGTCCCGTTGGCCATTGTTCATGCTGCCGCTGCTGGCGCTTTCCGTGTGGCTGCGCCTCGAGCCGGACACGCTGTGACTAAATTTAGAATTCCCAAACGTATCATTCGTCTCTGTCAAACTCTTCCACATCTCGTTATGCCGACTCTGTGAATTCATGAGACTGTTGCGAGACTCCACCAAACTGCCACTCGACTCTTTATGAACCTTATTTTGCTTCATAACGTTATTACTTGGACGATGAGCAATACTCCGTAGTTGCATCTGACTGTGTGTCGAATTGATTAGACTCTTGGATTTTGTATGCATTGTCCCCGAGTTGCCATTGCTGTATTGGGATTTCTGTGCGTAGTTTCCCGGTTTGATAAAATTGCTACGTTCGTCCCCCATACCATTGCTCATTTGGTGTTGACTCTTATTTAAGACCATAGAGCTACTATTACTGTCTGACATATTGTCATTACTTTTGTGGATATCATATTGCGATTCGATTAGATGATTAGAGGTTTGTCCAAATTGTGAATCGATCAAATGTTCTGGGTGTTCTGCGTATTGCGATTCTATCAAGCTATTAGATGCATCTTCGTGGTGCCTTTTTGATTCCATTTTTCTGTTTTGTTTGGCTAGGCTGGTTCTTCCATATTCCATTTGGCTACCTACCCTCATGTAGTTATGTGCTGATTCTTCCGAGTTGTTCATTAAATGCTCTTTCCCGCTCTCACATTTGAGCGAACCATCTTCCATGTGCATCTCATTTGTCGAATCTGAAATCCTGCTGACAGATCCATTCAGATTAAATTTTAATTCTATTAAATTCTCAGGCATTCTCACAGTCCTGTTTTGAGATAGAATTATATCATTTTTATCTTCCTCAAAATTTCCCCTCGATCCTGTAGTGTGACTTTTTTTGGAGGTTATGGAATAGCTCCTCGATTCAATCTGCAGGTTGCTTACATGCATATAACTTCTCCTTGGTTCTATTTGTCTGCTGTTTGATTGCTCCCTGTTGTATGCCTTTTCTAGTTGGCCACTTTTCCGGGCTGCAGAATTCTCTCCTGACATTTTGGCATTTATAGACTTGGATAAGTCTTTTTTCCTGGGGGGTAGATGGCTGGGTTGTGGCTGCATAGAAATTCTCCTCGCTCCGTTGTACTTCGAATGTTGCTCACTCGGGTGTCCGCCCCACTCGATTAACTCTCCGCCTAACTCCTGCTGCGCATGTATCGGCTGTGTGTATGATCTACTGGAGTGAAAATGGCTCCTACTAGCCCTCGTTAGCTGCTCCAACTCAGCATCTACGCTTGCTTTAAAATTTCCCCCACTTATTTTGTCCTCCATCTCTATCCTATTACTGTTTAACTTTTTATAGAACTCCCCATTTTTTGCGGAAGAATTATTATTTTTTAAAAAGGTTTCATCGAAATTGTCCATATTTCGGGCTCTCATATTTTGTGCATTTCGTCCATCGCCAGATTCACCTATATCAACATACCTTTGCGAGAGTTGCAGCGAGTTTAGGCTATCTCCAGCCGGATCATTTGGGTCTACCCCTTCATGGAAGTTACCACGTCTCTCGTTCCCACTTCTGTCGTTCCCACTGCTGTTAACTTGGCCGTTCCCACCGCTGTCCACTCTGTCGCTTTGTTCCAGGAAGTTGCCGTTATGGTAATGCTGTCCCTCGTAAATTATGTTCTCCCCGTTTGTGGACTCTTCTGTGTTTTCCCCATACCTGTCAGCAGAGCCAGGGTGCATGCCTTCCAGCGCACCTCCATGTGGCTGCAATGTCCTATTCCTTTGGATGGAATTGAGATTTGTCTCCATTTCTTTTTTCCCCCCACTGGTTAGAGACACACTGTTATTTGCACTTAGCTCAGAGTCTATCTTTACTGCCTTCATGTTATCATAAAAATGGTCGGTGTGATCTCGGTTGATGTGGTCAGTTCCGCTTTGACCAGGGCCTGCAGTGTTGTTAAAAGATTTACTCGAAATGTAGGTGCTATTGGGAGGCATATTTTCATTTACCGGTTTGTCACTTCTTGGAGGGTCGTCTGTTTTCCCCTGATAACCCAGTAGTGATGAATTCTGTTTGTTATACTTTGGGCTGCCTACAAATGGTTTAAATTCTCCGTTCATTTTGCTGTTTCTCAGATGCTGTATATCCCTTTCCACATGTTCTGACATCATTTGGTCCTTTACAGTATCATACGGAGAGGGGTCGTTAAAGTTGGTTCCCTCTCCTTGGTTATAAACGTTGCTGTCACTGGGTTCACTATTGTTTGAAACGTGATTCTGCTGATTCGTTTGTGCTAAATGTTTTAGTTCAGTGTCTTTAATGGCTCCCTTTTGACTGTATTCCTTTGCCATGTCTTCATTGTAGATCTCCATGCCATATTCACTGCTGCAATGGGCGAGATTTTTTTTTTCTTCAAAACGGGAACCGTTATTGAATTTTTGCTTTTGATTCGTTAATGCACCTTTCTTGGAGGTAATCCCTATCTCTTCCTTAAAGCTCCCATCTAGGAATGAGTTCGTGCTCGTGTCCAACTTGTGCGTGTCATTCATATGGGATTTATTCTTTTCATTTTGGTCAGGTTGCCCCTCAGATGCGTCCACGTCATTGAATACATCATCACTTGTGAGCATTCCATTTTTTTTCGTGTATTTACTGTTTGCTATAAAGGCCTCTCTTTTGTTTAGAGGCTCGTTTTTTTTTTTTCCTAAAATAATGCATTTTGTCTGAGCAGCAGGAGGGAGAGAGGTAGGTGTATCTTAAACATTCCATTCAGCGCTCACTAATCTATGATAATATGCGAGCGCGATCTTGTTACCCCTTCTGGTTTGAAATGTGCCAATGTTTGGAATAGTTCGGAATATTTTCGAAAAAGGAATGGCTCAAAAAGGGGAGCGAAATGAAAGGAAGCGTGGGTTCTACTCCTATATGTTTTTTTTTCTTAACAGCAGTGGGTGGATAGAGAGGCGGGCCTGCTTTTTTTTTTTTTTTTTTTTTATAGTGACATAAATGTAGATGTTTGCAAGAGAGTCACTTCCTACGCATGTGCATCTGACGATATATACCCAAACGGATCATTCTTATATATATGTCTATGTATTTTTTTTTTTTTTTTTCTGTCTTGCTGAGAGGAAACTGTCTAACCCCGATGTGCCACACAATAGACTCCCTCGTAGGGAATCTTCTCTAAATTTAGTTTTCCATGTTATGTATCCCTTCATTGGGTTTTAAATCCGAGGGGGGAGAGACACATCTGATCCGTGACTGGGCTATTGTAGGGGAAAACTTCAATTTGTTTTATGAGTACTCGTTTTTCTTGTAAATTCGGAGATAGGTATTAACTAAAAGGGATCGTAAGCTTTCTAGGAAAAGAGAAAGGTGCACATTGAGAGGGAGAAAAATGCGACTTGCTCATTTCGCGCTATTCACGGAGTAGCCTTTAACACGGGTACGAAGCAGAGGTGTGCGATGTTCCATCACCCCACGAATGAGTGCACCAGATAGAAGCACCCACACGCACACACACACGAAAAAACGCAACACCCCCGTTTCCCCATCAGCCGAAATGATAGAATTAAAGAACTTGGAATTCCACTTAGAAAATCTAGGCGAATCCAACAGGTGTTTCAACGATGAGGAAAAACTGGGGTTGCTATACGGCATGACCAATTTGGAGGAGAAAATAAACAAGCAGATTTATTTGTGGGGGAAGATAGAAGGTATACAAAATGACTATTACATAGTCTACTACCTCAATCATGATAAGGTTTTTCCAAAAAAGAAATTTTACTACTGTAATGATGATTACGAATTTAGGGAAGTGACAAAGGGGAATGACAAGTTGATAGAGAAAGTGGAGCAGAAGACGCCCTTCACGCTGTTCACAGGGGTGGCAGTCAGTCTATATTCTGAGGGTCGCAAGTCGAGGAGGGGGCAGGGCGGAAGTGACAGTAGTGAAGACTCCCTAAGTGACAGCGAAAAAAGTAGCACCGGGGAGAGTAGCACCGGGGAGAGTAGCACCGGGGAGAGTAGCACCGGACAGAGTAGCGACGCACAGAGCAGTAGCGAAAATAGTCACAACTCCAAAAGTGGACATCAGAATAGTGACGGTTCCCAGGGAAGACACCAAAATGGGGACTCACAAAGCGGCGAAAGCGAAATGGAAGGAGGAACCCCCAAAAAGGAAAAAAAAAACAAAGTGGAAAAAAATAAAAAGAAAGAAAGACAGAGCGATATCACCGAGCTTGAGAGACTATCCTATGTCGTTAGAAAAATCGATGAAGAAGCATTTATTGTACCTTACAATTCTGTAAAAATAACAAATAACTTAGAGATGAAATTTGCCAACTTCAGTGGATTGAATATGATAGAGGCACTAAAATTAACATCGTGGGTTCACTTTAGATACCCTAAGAATTTAACGTACGATAAAATTAAGAGTTACAATACTTTTTTTTTGAATAATTTTCTCGATTCTATCAAATCAGATATCCCAGCAAGCATGTGGAATGTAAAAGTTAATAAACAGTTAAGTAAAATTTCCATAATGAATTCTTTGTACCCTGGTTATGTCTTCTACCACCTCCTGAATACCCCCTTTTATGCCTCTGTGTATATAGGCAATGGCATCCCCAACTATGACCTCCCCTTTTTGTTGCCTTAGCGTAGATTGATCTGGGGCTGCTGGTGAGTAACTCCTCATTTGGGAGGAGCAAACAACAAAAAAGGAAAAAAAAAAAAAAGAAAAAAAATGAACAATGTATATGTCTCAATCTGTATTAGTGAAGTTAGAGATGTACTCACTTTTAGCACGCCGAAAAAGAAGAAAAAAAAAGAAAAAGCTGCGTCATCTCGCTGCTTCTACATCTTGTAGATGCAACTACTTTTGCACACCCACACATAAATGAACTACATGCATATGGTTTGCACCCCGTGAGCCACTTAAATGTAACACTTTTGTTCTTTCTTCCCCGTTGGTTTGAACGATGCCCTGGATAGTCGGGTATTAATTCACACGCCTCCACAGCAGTAGTAAAAAAGTAAAAGTTCTCCCCTTCAACAATGATGTTCGGACGATTAACCAGAGCCCATATAACTGTAGCAGGAGTGATCATTCAAACGAACCTCTTCGTTCTGCCCACACGGTTACAAAGGATTACGGATGAGATGTGCTCTCCATGGGAGCTACCGGGGAACGTGTGTCCTTGCTGCCGAGAAGCCCATTTGATGGAACAATTCCTTGGCTATGCCCATTTTGACGTTACATTAACTGTTTTTTGCCCCCTCACCGGATGTGCTAATTATGTGCTTTCCTTTTCCAGACAGTAGTTTCTCCCCTTTTAGGCTTATGAGTCGAAATGGAAACACATCATTTTCTTACACCCTGCTGCGTTGTATAGCGTGATAAGATAAGGACCACGCTAGGAAAAAAAAAAAAAAAAAACGGTTATTTTGTTTTACCATTTTTATCATTCTTTTTTACCGTTGTTCTGATAATCTCGACGCGTCTGCGCAGTTACCCACTTCGCCTACTTCACATATGCGCCACCAACTGCTACACGCTACGCAGCCTTAGCCGCTTCTTTGGGTGGATCGCACCACATCGATTTTGCAAACTGTGGGCTGAAGGAATTGAAGCGGAGAAGGGATCAAAACTTGTTATGCCAAATGAGCAAATTTTGCGGTGTGGAAATTTGGGAGGAGTGGGAAATTGAGAGGAAATTTTCAGGAAAATATTTCTTCGCTCTGCTAATCAAAGGGGGGTGGAAAAAAAAGCCTCCCCTCGCATACGCGCTTCGTGTGAATCAGACGCAATGCAGGCTGCAAATTGTATGCCACATACCTGCAAAGTATGTGTGGTGCAACTCACAGACAGCTGACCCGCGAGTTCATTGCACATGGGTTTGGTTCGGAAATACTTAAAATACTGGGAGACGGGTGTTCACATGGAAAGGTAACGAACTCACGAAAATGCAAACATGCATTCGCTATGGATATGCGCAAAATAAAAGTTGACATGCGAAAATACACGTAAACATTCGAACAACTTTTCTGCGTTTGACAAGGCTTTGCAGTTACAAATATGAAAATTGTGATCCACTTCATTTCGCATTTTTTTTTTTTTTTTTTTTTCCCGCCCCCTATTTTTTGATAATAAATGCAATATTCGTTAAAAAGGAAAGAAATAAAATTACGAAATTGAAACAACTGCAAACTGGCAAGCCGTTGCGTCGCATCTTATCGTTTTGGTTTTATTTGCCTCGATTCGACCCCACTCCATTTGACTTCTCCTCATTTGACTTTTCCTCATTTGACTTCTCCCCATTGGACTTCTCCCCATTGGACTTCTCCCCATTGGACTTCTCCCCATTGGACTTCTCCCCATTGGACTTCTCATTTGACCTCTCCTCATTTGACTTGGTTTCCCTTTTTTTTGTTTTCCCCCCCCATTTGTTTGAGGTACAGGCTCAGTATTACAATCTTTACGCTTGGCACTATCTCCGTATGCATTTACGTTTCGTACATAAAGCAGCCAAAACGTGGGTAATTTTAACCGTACGGTTGGGCAAAGGAGGCTTGGAAACGCGCAGAAAAATCTCGTATAGGTGAATAGCACCTCACGTAAACTCGCTGATACCCAAGCAAAAGAAGAAGAACCCCCCCCCGGGCACCCCCACTTCGTACACAAAATATAGCATGATGATATGGAAGTCCACTCAGAAAGTTAAATGCAAAACCGAGTTCCTCATCGTCGTGTTTCTTCTCCTGTTTGCAAGCATTACGAGCAGCCAATTGATAAGATTAGATGGACAGAAAATAAACACGAACTACATTCTGTATGTTCTTAAGGGTCTGTACATATTTGGGAAAAATGACACTCCATACGTTTTCCTGGGGGAGAAGAAGGACATGACAACGAAGGGGCCACATGCAATTTTTGAAAACATAGGAATCAGTACCACGGAAAATAAGAACACGAAATATTTCAGCTTCGTCCGGGAGGAGAGCAAAACGAGTGGCCAGGGGAAGGACGAATCGGATGGGGAAAATAAATCGGACGAACACTCCACCTCGGAGACCAACAATAATAGCAGTGATGAGGAGGATGAAGACACTGATGAGAAAGACAAAAAGGATAAATTTAAAATAAACCTGTATAAGGATAACCCCTACTTAAGAAAAAAAAAGGAATATATCCACAAGCACGAGGATGACGAGGTGCTAAACACAAGTAACCTATTTTTAGAAGTGGTCATAATGAAGGAAAGCGATTTCAATAAGTTTTATCTACCAAAAGATTCCAACGTATGTTGTCACACGGAAGAAAGGGGCATGGACGGAAATGATTCATACACCTGTCCAGGAAGGGGGTACCTAAAAAGGTACGTAAAGGAGTCAAGTATGTATGCATTAAAATTACCAGTTTATTTCCTGAATGACAGAATATCGAACAACGAGGAGATGTCACCTCTAGAGAATGAAGTAAACCATGAACAATTTTTAAAAATAATTCAAAACAGACATATGTATGACATAGACGACACGGATGTGTACGCATTATTTTTATCAAACTGTTCAGATAGTAAAAAGTACGAGTTAGAGCTACATGGTAATATACACATTTTGAATAAGTATGGATACCTACCAGGAGATAAGATACCAAAGCTAAATTTGTACTTTGTGTGTATGCTTATCTATGCGATTTATTTGTTTACTTGGATATATTTACTAATGAGGAACAAACAGTTCGTTATCAAAATTCAGATATGGATCCTAGTATGCATATTTCTCTACCTGGTGGAAAATTTCTTCCTCTTTCTCTACTTCTTGGTTTACAATTTACGCGCAAGGGTGAATAGGAATTTCCTCTTCCTATCAGTATGTTCGAGTATATTAAAAAATGTATGTTCGTATCTTTTAATTTTACTTGGATCCCTAGGCTGGGGCTTAGTCATCCCAACATTGGACAAGAAGACGTTTATTAAGATAAAAGTGCTCTTCTTCTTTTTTATCATTTTTGACTTCATAAAACAGTTTCTGGACATGCACTTAACCGATGCAGAAGTTAATGCAGTTTATTTCCTATTTTGCATTATCCCAGTAACGGTTATCTATTCTATTATTTACTTGTGGGTATTTACTTCCGCTAGCAAAATTATAATTCAGTTAAATGAAGATAAACAGTACGAGAAGTTAAACATGTTTAAGAAGTTTTTTAATGTATTAATTTTTTCACTTATCTTTTCAGTTATCGCTTTTGTTATAGATATCGTCGTTATGCTCTTTGTGGATAATACCATATGGAGCTTGAAGTGCTACCTTAGCGAGGGAATTATCAGCTGCTTGTTTTTGATCATTATCACTGCTATGTTTATGTTGTTTAGGCCCTCAGACAGACTGAAGAGAATTTCGCACTTTACGGAGATCGGCGACATGGACGAGATGGAGGACTTTTCACAATTTAAGGCCTCCATGGAGGACATTTAAGTAGGTCCCCCTCGTCAGGGTAGCACAACGGTTAGCCGTTTGTGCAAAGCCGTGGTGCTGCTATCTTTTTCACTCCATCCTAAGCCACTTCTCATTCAACATTGTGATAAAAACAACCATGGATGTTTTACCAAATTGGCGTTTGCATCCACGAACGACAGAGAAAGCGCAATTTGTTAGTGGTGCGCTGTGTGTAACATTTTTTCGATCCAAGCATATTCCCAATTTGTCAAATTTTTTTTTCGCGCCCAGCATGCCTCGTTTGTATAGGGTCGTATACATGTGCAGAGACACCCTTACAAAAGTAAAAGTGCTATCGATTTCTTCATTTTTTTTTTATAGTTCATTTCGCATTATAATTTCCCCCTGTTATAAATAATTTATTAATTTGTTTTGATATAAAACGTATGCAAAAAAATAATAAAAAAAACAGCGTTACGTACAAAACGTATATTATATGTGTCTCCTCCATGTGGTTATGAAGTTCGAATTCAATTTTTTTCCTCGTGTCAGTTGGGCGCTGTGTGCGTCAGTGTAGAATGGACCGACAGAGCACATCACAGTATGCGCTCCCATCTGGGTGACATGGATGCATGTATCACATCCGATGTGTTTAATTTTTTTTAAAAGAAATTGTATAACTACCACCGTCCCTTCTGCATATAAAAAAGTGCCTCTTCGTTATTGTTACTGAATGGCTACTCTGGTTGGTTCGTTGCTTGCTTCCTTCATTCCTCCCAACTTTTTTTTTTTTTTTTTTTTCCTTGCTTATCTCCCTCTCCTGGTTTAACCACAACTTTTTGTGCGCTATTACGTGCATATATAATTTTACATATCTTATTATGCAAATGTAAGCGCACGCATAATATGTGTATGCATGTCCCATCATACGGGCACCCGAAACCGATTCGCTGATTGAATTCTTCCCTTTTAAACCCCCCGTTTGTAAATTCTGAAAGAGGTTCACCTCCGAAAGGGAAGGGATCTCATATGTTTTTTTCCCAATTTGGCATAAATAAAGGCGCCTCAATTTCTGCAGCATCGTCACGTGTTTTGCTGTTATCGTTGCTGCGCCTTTCCCGCGCGTTCCTGCATTTTTTCCGATTTGCGCTACATTGTATGCCGTCCCGTAACAACGTCGAGGTGCCCACATATAGGTGACATTTCTGACCAGAAGCGTGTCGTTTGCCAACTCTGGGTTTGCGCAGTGGGGAGGGGAAAATGTCGCCACATAGGCCCAACTTCAATGCAACAATGGGAGATACACACGCATTTTCGCACTGACGCATTTGAGCAGACGCCTACTGGTGTAGGTGCCAAGACTCGCAAAGCCAAACAACGCCGTAGAAGCGACAGGGCCCAATATGTAGCATGCATATGAAAGCCCCCTCCCTACTCTGCATACTGCTATGCGTTCAATGGGCACTTGGAAGGCGGAACAAACATGGCATAGAGTTCTACATCAACCCATGGCACGGGGACCCCCAAGGGAGGGACCTGCGTGCGGTTAGAAGACACCCCCCCCTAGCGTGCAAGAACAAATCCAGTGGTGACAAATGGAGCCAAGTCGAACATAACGAATGTGGCTTGAGTCTTAACATTTTAAAAGTAAATGAAAACAAAGTAATCGAAAATTTAAAAAAAAGGGGAATGGAAAAAAATATTAACCATGTTCAAATGTTAAAAAATTTAATAGAGGAAAAAAATAAACTGGAAATGTTAAGAAATAATCTCCGAAATATGAGAAAAGTTTTATCCGATCTAGTAAAAAATTTAATGTTTGCTCAAAATGCCACTATTAAAAGCGCACCCCAGGGTGGAATCTCAGAGGAGACATCTTGCATGGATAGCAACGAAGTAGAAATAGAAACACGAAACCCACAAAAGGACACCCATTTTAAAGAATGCAATATCGAACGAGTGAAAAAAGAAATAAACCAAATAAACGAACAGATTAACATTAACGAAACGAAGATAACCTATTTGAGGTACAAAATAGAGGAGCATTTCAGTAGGCTTCCCAACCTTTTACTATGCAAAGTACCTGAGGGAAAATCAAACAACGGAAACAAAATAGTCAAGATGTACAAAATAAAAAATGTCGAAATGGACAAAGGTAACACCTCCATAGAATCGCATGAAGAAATTTTAAAAAGATTCGACAATAATCAACACATTTTTACCAACATAACGAACAAAATTGGCTTTGGCTATAACGTACTAGTAAATAATATCGCCAAGTTGGAGAGGGCATTAATTCACTTCATGATTAATACACATGTAAATAAATTCCACTACACGTATGTAAAAGCGCCAGTAATAGTTGCCAGATCGGCCTTAACCAACACAGGGCAACTACCAAAATTTGAAAACGACTTATTTCAAATTAATAACAATTATAAAATTCTAAACGAAGATGCTTTTCTAATTCCTACTAGCGAAGTTTCTCTATTAAACCTCTTTAGAAATACCCACTTAGATTCTGAAAATTTACCCATTAGGTTAGTGAGCCATTCTTCATGTTTTAGGATAGAAAAGAACTTTACCTATGGAAAAGCATCGAAGGGATTGCTACGTGAACACATTTTCGAAAAAGTAGAATTAGTTAACATCACCGATAGGAAAAGCTCTCATGTGTTTTACAAAGATTTAATTAAACATAGTGAATATATTTTAAAGAAATTGAAAATTCCCTACAGAATAGTTCTTCTGAATTCCTTTGAAACTCCATTTTCTGCATCCATATGTTACGATTTAGAAGCCTGGCTACCCAGTCAGCAACGATTTGTTGAAGTTTCTTCCTGCTCCAATTGCTTAGATTTCCAAGCCAGGAAACTAAATTTAAAATATAAAAAGAAGGACAGTACCTTTTTCTGCCATACTATTAATGGGTCCGGTTTGGCCGTAGGACGTGTCTTGGCAATCATCCTCGAACAGTATCAAATAGGGGGGACCTCCCCAAATGAAAAAAAGCAGCTCATCATACCGAAGCCTTTGCGGAAATTTATGAACGCGTCATTGATTAGTTTGTAGCGGGCATGGAGCTGTATTATTACAACGCATCCTTTTTGCAGCAATAGCTGAGCTTAGTGGAACACCACGCGTGGAGGACTCCCACACGGAACCTGGCTATTTGGCTGTCCCCCCAAATTTGTGTTGCACCCGCTTGAAGTGCCCACCTAACACATTTGGCGCCTCCCCTGAAAAAACCAAAAAAAGTATACATGCGCAAAGAAAAGCGAAGCATAATTTGTCATTATGAACCCATTTCATAACGCGCATGTTCGAATTATTTTTTCCCCATTTTGGGATCACTTAAATTATGCACTCCCACGGGCGCATGTAACATGTCGTTCACGCTAACACTTTTACGTGCTACATAATTGCGCATCTTTAGTAGGCGATATTGCAATTTGACCACAGTCAGGGGACTTCCTTCCTATTCTGCTTTTTATTCTACTTTTTTTTTTTTTTTTTTTATAAATTATTCACGCTTTTTTTACATGTTCATTTTCGCCCCATCGATGACTTGTGTGTGTTTCTTTCCCCTTTCCCACTTTTAAATAGCTACGCTATGAAATATTAAAATTTTTTTTCTTTTTTAACTGCTGTGACGATCACCTCAAATTTGTTCCATGCAAAGGGAAAAGAACAGCGTTGATTAACTATCCCCCTCTTAGCGTAACAATTTGGTACAGAGGTAGGATAAAAATGTAGAGCTGTGCATGTGAAGAGACGTATGAGTATACCTATGAGTATAGCCGTTTGTACGGCACATCACAGTGACACCCTCACGCTGAACCTACACACTGTTAAGGACTTTTTTATTTTTTTCCAAACCACGATGATGAGTTTATTGTGGAAAAAATGCACCAATTTCGTCATTGCTCGTTACAAAAAGAGGGAGCTTCGCATTAAGTGCTGTTATAATTTCAGGCGGGAATTCTCCAGTGTCAAGGCAAGCGATGGTAGGAACGGGCGGCGCGACATCAACACTAACAACTGGGGAGAAAAAGTGCATCCACATGTGAATACAAAGACAAAGGGAAGGTCGACCTTTCCCCCGAGTGTAGACCCGGGTGTGGCCCTGGGTGCAGCCCCGGATGCAGCAACAAGTGAGGAAGACCACAGAGACCTATATTTTAACAATAAAGTGATCCAAAAAAGAGTTGCAGACATAATCATAAAAAACAGCCACAACGAATCCCTTTTTGGATTTCTTCCCATGGAAGGGAGAACGAATAAAGTTCCAAAAGGTTTCAAAATATGTCAATGCCTTTCCTTATTGGCCCTTTCCAGTGGAGTGTTGCTTATTCATATACTGCCAGAAATGGGGAGGGAAAATTACATACGTGACATTTTTTCCTTCGAAATTTATTGCTGTTCATGCATTTTAGTTTTCCACGGAGGGCTTAATTCATTGCTGCAATTAATTCAGTATGGAGTGCCTCCGACGAGAAAATACAAAGGCTTGTACAACAGCTTACGTTTGATCTACTCCATAATTCCATTATTTTTTGGTTTAATAACATCGTCGTTATGTGACAGTTTTCCCAAAGATAGCATTTTACTTTTAATGCTATCGTACATGTCACTGTTGCTTAATTATTACCTACTACACAACAAGTGCTTAATTCCGGCGTGGATGTTCCGACAGTGCAAGTTTTTAACTTTCTTCGTTTTATTTAATTTGCTTTTGTTGTTAATAAGCGAGGCGCAGATTTACAGAGGGCGGAAGGTTTCCATCCAGGTTGATGACTAACCAGAAAAAAGGGGTGCCTTTTTCGCGAAGGAGAAAAAAGTGTGCTGTGAAGAGAAATCGGCCAACGTGGAAAAAGATATATACAGTAAGAATGTACCACTGGGAAGGACAGCTGCAAAAAACGCCACAAAGAAATGCCACAAAAAAACGGCACAAAGAAACACCACAAAAAAACGACGCAAAAAAAGGAAAGAATATCGATACGAGGAAAAAAAAAGAAAAACGCTGCAATCACTGCTCCGCTTTTGGCCTATATATTTGCCCCCACCCTGGAGCATACGCGCACGAAGTTGTAACTTTTGCGAATTGAATACGTGGAAAGAGAACGGAAGAACTACTATTTATGGGTTGCCCTTTTACATAAACGAACGCACAAGAGATGCAGAATTTCTCCTACATGTAACACTAGTGGTTAAGCGGGTATATCATATAAGCGCTTGTGCAATGCCTAATCCGCACCCCCGAATTTTTTAAAAGCTACATTGCGATATATGCACAAGGAAAAAAAAAAGAAAAAATATAATATACATATGTATAAACACATGTACGTATAAACATTTGGATATATTCGCAATTCAAGTTGAAGAGAAACAAAGGAAACATTTCCATCCGCAGAACGTAAAACAATTTTTGCGCACTTTTGTGACTGCAATGGGTGCAAGGCAACACAAAAAAGAAGTGGCGCAATGGACATAATAAAGTCCTTCCCGGTGTGGCACATAATTAAACATATATATACAACTTATTACATACACTGAGAATATATGCTGGCACCATATGTCACATGGATGGAAAGATAAATTAAAAAACATAGGTGACATGCAAACATTTTTTAAACCGTCAAGAAGTTCGATTGACGACAAAATATATTTCACTTCAAGGTACCGCATAACTTGCTTCTCTTCGCTTCTATAGGTTTCTTTTTTTTTTTTCCCATAAGTCGGGAAAAAATAAACGTGAACAATATTTTATATTTAAAAAAAAGGGAAATAGGGCCATTCGACGAAGGAGCACGTATATCAAAAAAGAGTCACGCAACAGCAAAGGAGAAAAAGTACAAGTGGGGATTACATACGCACATGCATATAATACCCCCATAGGTACAAACACTTACAGAGGGACACTCCCAAAAAACGCGTAGAATTGCTAAAAAGTATTTCAGCGCGAAGGCAACATCATCGCTGCGACAGCACTATTCACATTAAAAGTGAAGAGTTAAAACGAAAAAGTTACGACATATTATAGGTTGTGCATAGTACATAATATATCGCTCCTCGCGAGTCGCAACTGTGCCATTTTTACAAGTTACAAAATGTACAGAAACCTGTTCGATAAGCTAAAGGAAGGCCCACTCAAGGTAACACCCATAGAAAGGGGAGAGAACACCTCTGCTGCCTACATGCAACTTTGCACAGGGGCATATAAATATCAATATATTTGTGCATACTCATTTGCAAATACACTTCGCCTGTCCGTTCCATGTCACAGCGTCACAACTGTGCTCGCGTAGAAGTCAATCGAATGTATACATGTGTGCGTGTTTTTTTTTTTTTTTTTTTTTTTTTTTGCACCCCCACAAACAGATATCCATTCTGGGCAGCGGAAGCTGGGCGAGTACAATCAGCAAAATCGTGGGCACGAATGCAAAGAATAATTATTTATTTGAGAATGAAGTGAAGATGTGGATACGAGACGAAGTGGTAGACGGAGAAAAGCTGGTGGATATAATTAACAAGAAGCATGAAAATGTAAAATACTTAAAGGGGGTGGCCTTACCGCACAACATTGTTGCCTACTCAGATTTGTCCAGAGTGATTAATGCTACTGACCTGTTAATATTTATAATCCCATCCCAATATTTAGAAAACGTATTGATGTTAATAAAAGAAAACCAATCCATTAAGATAGAGAAGCATGCACAGGCTATTTCTTTAACTAAAGGATTTATCATTAAAAATGATCAGATGAATCTTTGCTCCAAATACATTAGCAACTTCCTGGACATTCCCTGTTGTGCCTTGTCGGGTGCAAACATAGCCATGGTAAGTGTGTGGGGGGAAAGTCCTACGCGTGTCGGCACCCCTACGAGAGGGAAGCATCGTGAAGAGTATATATCTTGACCTACGCGCACCATCACATATACTGTGCGCTCTTTTGGGACATTCAAAAGATTCCCACCCCGTTCACACACCTTTGCGTGCATTTTAATGTGCCCCTTTTAACAGGATGTAGCCATGGAGAAATTCTCAGAATCCACTATAGGAGGAAATGACAAGGACACGCTGCTAATTTGGCAGCGGGTTTTTGACTTGCCCTACTTTAAAATAAACTGCGTTAATGAAACTGTGGGGGTTGAGGTAGGGCGACCAATATGAATAAATAAATGACGTCGCTGGTGCAATATTAGTATACAAAAACATGTGTTGTATTTTTCCCAACTCGTTTACTGATTGCATAATTATCCATGACGCACATTTTTTTTGTTAACATTTTCCCTTCCGCACGATGTGCAGATTTTCGGCGCGTTAAAAAATATCATAACGCTGGCAGCTGGATTTTGCGACGGACTAGAAGCTTCCCACAATTCCAAATCGGCGATTATCAGAATTGGAGTTAAAGAATCCATCCTTTTTGGGAAAACATTTTTTAATTATTCCGATGTGAGCATATTTTTTGAGAGCTGTGGCTTGGCTGATATCATCACGTCCTTCCTGGGCGGAAGAAACGCAAAATGCTCTGCGGAGTTTGTAAAGTGTAATCCGAAGAAAACGTGGGAAGAGCTGGAGAATGAAATCCTCAAGGGGCAGAAATTGCAGGTCAGTAATTTTTTAATATGGAGAGAATTGCCTTTACATACCACGACGCGATGACAGTGTCTGCATTCGGTTGGATGGAGTGGTTGTTACCCGAGTTTGTAATTTTTTTTTTTTTTTTTTTTTTTTTTTTTCTTCCTTTCGCAGGGAACTGTGACTTTGAGGTACGTTTACCAAATTATCAAAAAGAACAACTTAACCCACGAATTTCCCCTTTTCACGATTCTCCACAAAATATCGTTTGAGAATGAGGACCCCCGCGCACTGCTGAACATATTTGTGAACTACACAGTATCGGCAATAACGGCATAGTAACAGAACCGCCCAGATGAGCTCAAGCTTGTGTTTAGAAGTCATATGTACACGCGAAGAGAGTGGCCCCATGTGCCATGTGTGCATATTTTAACCCTCCACCACCTGCGTTAGTATTCCATATCTACCGATGACATTGCTTGGGTTGGAATAATATGCACCCCGAATTCAGCGCAACATTTGTAACGATGTTTTTGTTTGATTTTTCCCGTAATGTATAAATTGTCCTGCTTTCCTCAATTTTGAGTATACTGAATAATTAGCACGCCTTTTTTTTTTTTTTTTTTACCACTGGCAATATGTAAGAATACTTTTCAAAACTGCTCTTTGTTCCTTGTAACATCTACACTTAGTTTTTTATCCTATGTCTTATCATTATTTCCTCTTTTTTTTTAAAAAAACGAACTCTTTGAATATGAACCGCTCCCCCACTTGTGTACACTTCAATAAGTAAACTGAAGAATGTGCATTATTAGCACTTTATGCACGTTTGCACTGTCCCATTTTGCCATTTTTTGGGATATATCGAACGGAATGGCGCTTGAACGGGAAAAAAAAAGAAAAAATAATTAACCATTCCTTATCAAGTCCTACATATATATATCCCTCCATTTCAGCTGTAGTATACGTTTTGATAAAAAAAAAAACAAGTCTCAAAAAAATTACCAATCAGAAGTTGAAAAGAGGTGGGTGTTGTCATGTATAACTAAAAACAATTTAGCCACTACATTTGCAGTGCTCTACGTACGTGTGGGTCTGTGTTGAAGGATAAGCCACACACCAGCGAGGATGCTATATTTATCGCAACACGGAAGAAATTCATTCGAAGAGCAGCAAATTGGAGGACCCCCTGAAAGGGCACGCGGTGTGCGGTTCACTGGAAAAATTTACAAGAAATGGGTGAAAAAAAAAATGTCCAACGTAGCCGATTCAGCATAGAATCTTGGGTTAATCACCTTGCCAAGCATATCTCCCTAAGGGTCGAATTGATATACAAAGGGAGCTAAGTCATCTGTAGGTCGAATGAGCCCCACTTCCCATGTAGCTTCATGCAGGGCCAACTTAATCCTTGTTTTTTTTTTTCTTTTTTTTCTTTGCCGCACTGTTCGCATTAACCGCAACAGTAGGTTCCACATTCGCCTTTATGGTTTGCAATTTCAACCCAATTTGTTTCATTAAGGCAAATTTACTAAATATGTTGCTGCTTTCGGCGTCCGGCATTTTTATACGTATCCTTCCTTCCACCAGCCAATCCCTTGGATAGTATTTATTTTTTTCCACAACACATTGGACTTTCAATTCTTTACACGCCAATGCAATTTCGTCAATGGATGGGTCCGCTACACAATAATTCAGGTTTATTTTTCTCCCTTCTTTCACTTTTTTCTTTTTATTTAAATAATTGGGATAAATAATTTTCCATCGAGAGTAGTCCTTACTGTCATCGTTCGCGTTGATTACTTCAGGTTTCATCATTTGCTCTTTCGCTTTGTGTGAAAAATGTGGTCTTGCACATGCGCCAGTGTTTTTGTTCCTTTTTAATTTACACTTCTGAAGTTTTTTTTTTTCTTTTTTTTGCGTGCGCTCCGTTTTACATGTGTGAAATACAAACGTTACACTAGGCGACAGACGATTAGTGGAGCCTACAATTGTGAGGAGATATGCAAAATGGTGAGACTCAACTGTGTAATTTTAAAACGGGGGGAAATTCTATGACATCTTTTGGGCAAACAGTTTAGGGAAACTCCCCCAAAGGTCAATGTAATGGCGGATGGGGGGAGAAGGCTTAAAATCTTTGAAAAATGAAAAATCCATGCTCAGAATGAACAAAGGGAAAACGTGGCAAAACCGTCACGTGTAAAGTGTACCAACAGTTTCTGCTTTCCATTTTGTGGAAAAACAAAAGCGGATGGCGAAAAAGAATATTTTTACATTTTATAACATGTCCTTATTGCCCACCTCATTCATAACGAAAAAAAAAAAAAACATGTCATTTCAGCAGACAAAAGGTTTTAAGTTGCTTTTGCTTACCACATAAGGCGTGACGTGTGTTTGGTTCCTCCTATTCCTGAAGTAACTTTTTCAAGCAGATGAGTCCTACAACCTTCCTTTCAGCCACTTCTTTCGGCTGAATTTCTCACTAACGCGCTCATGCATAAACGGCTAAGCAGGGCGGCTGGTTGACATTCGCCTCGTAGGGGGGGAAACCCTTAAGAGGTCGAATGTACATATATACGTGTACTCGTAAGTCTAAAAACAAAAATGTGCACGTTTATATTCAAATGTACGCTTTCCAAATAATTTTTCGGAAGTGAAAAAAAAACTGGCACATGGCTTCAAAAAAAAAAAAGGAAGGAAAAGGAAGGAAAAGAAAGGAAAAGGAAGGAAAAGAAAGGAAAAGGAAAGGAAAAGAAAAGCAAAAGGAAAGGAAAAGAAAAGCAAAAGGAAAGCAAAAACTTGTAAATCCTTATACGTATTAGAAAAATTTGACAATTTTGTAAAAAAAAAAAAAAAACGCAACGAAAAAAAACGCGTCGCAATGTACAGTACGCATACATTACAAATTTGTTTCTGTTTTTTTTTTGAATACAAAGAACTTTATGTTCGAGGGTTGACAATAAATGGTTTCCCACTCGCCGTTAATTTTGCAAACAGGTTATATTTGAGTTATACGTTCTGACAATTTTGTACATGTTGAAGATATTGCTTCTGTCGTATTTATTTGCTTTTCCAACCGTTGGCACAACTTCACCAACCCCAGCCTACAAACCTTATGTATGTTGTGGAAGGGCTTTGCCACATTTGAAGTTGCTTCCCCGGGTTATGAGCGATTATAACGCCACTTTGTGTAAGGACTGTTTGTTATAGAAGAAGGTAAAAAACAGCGAAAAAAAAGACAAAAAAAATTATTTTTATGTACAAACGTACAAATGTATACTTAACGTGTACACGGCGAAAAGCTCAGTTTTTACAAACTGCGGGAATTTTCTCATTTGCGGCGCGCGCGTTGAAAAGGAAAACACCCGCAGTAGGTATTATCGCACGTCTTACGATTTGCACGCACGTTTTGTCAATTTAAACCTCGTGCAATTCAAAAACTTCTCAAATAAGGCCCAATCAGGGGGGCGAAATAAAGACATGGCGTATACATGTACCTATATGCCATCATCTTGTATATGGTTTGACTAAAACTGTAGATGTATTTTTATTTCTTTTCTTCCCAATCGTGTGCAATTACTTTGTTTGAGCATTCGCGCCACTAGGAATTTGCATGCTCCGCTGAAAAAATTTGTTTGAATTGTGAGACATCTGGAGTGAAAACAGGAGGTGTAGAGGCCCTCTGAAGGAGTGACCAACTAAGGGGCACGCAGGAAAAACCATTCCAAAGGTGCTGGCAAAACTATACCTCGCGTGCAGAAGTGCGTCCCGCGCTGGGCCCGCAAGGGGGAAGAAGCAAAGACGAACTGAAGTTGCATGGGAGATACTTTCTGTCACGTAAAGAGGAAGTACGCAAGGGAAAGCTCTCAAGTGGAAGCACCCGTTGTAGAATGACACCCGGGCGTACTCACTGGTAATCCCAGCAACTCTCAAAATAACAAAAATGAAGATAAAAAGAAAAAAGAAAGGGGAAAAAAAAGATACACCAGAAGAATAACACCATATATTTACATGCTTAATACATCTTAAACTCGTAACCTTCAAAAAAATGAATTGTTAAGGAATAGGAAGAGGCCACACAGTTACCACCCTCCCTCCAGAAATAAATCAAAACAACACACAGTGTAGGAAAAAATGTTCAAGAGGTGTTTGATATTTTTGGTAATATCCATATTTAGCATAGCCCTAGTTGTATACAAAAGGGTAAAGCATGAAAATCTGAAGGAGGAGTACTATAAGGGGGGGGGAGATATCGATGGTTCAGGAGGCAGGCCTCTATGGGGGGGCACGGATGAGTGTAGCTCGAATGGAGAATTTTGCACCATGGATTACAGCGATATTGGTATGAAACAGGATGAATACAAAATTGTACATTACAAAGACACACGGATTAATAAGGTGAAGAAAGGACTGAAGCAAATTCTCCAACCCTTCTTCACAGAAATGAAAAGTGAAACGAATAGCAAGCATATCATTTCTTTATTTTTAGAGTTCTTTGAAAATTCTAAAATTTTCCTAACTGTCTCCTTGCGCTCAAGTTATCATGTTCTTTACGCCTACGGAATAGTGTTAATATCTTTCCTCAAGATTCTATTCTTATGGTACATAATTTTAGAGCCATATTTACAGTGGCTCCTTCTGAAGCTAAGAATGACGTATGTAAATTTGGACTACAAAACGAAGAAGTACGTAATGACCATGTTGTGTACGTTTTTAACTGTTCTCTATCTGATTTATTATGGAGTTATAAAATATATTTTAAATAAGATTTCCAAGTTTTACAGATATTTGATGAAAAAAGTGTTCAAAATTAATAAATTTATGTTCAATATATTGCCATATTTATTGAGCTCCTTGTTGTACGTCACTTTGGTCAAAACCCTACCGATGTCCTTCATTTCGTTTTTTATCTATTCCATTTTTTTTCCCCTGCCTTCCGTCTACTCTGTCCTTATCATTTTGAAATATGTATACCCGTCTAAGAGTAGCGAGAGCCTTATGGACAGCGTTACACACAAGTTGAATTTTTCTAAATATATTAATGCCATGAGTCAGTATGCTATCCTGAAGGACGGCGAGCTGGCGGAAGAAAACGAAGGTGAAAAAGCAGTTGAAGAAGAAAAAGCAGTTGAAGAAGAAAAAGCGAATGAAGTTGAAAAGGCGGATGAAGTTGAAAAGGCGGATGAAGCTGAAAAAGCGGATGAAGCTGAAAAAGCGGATGAAGCTGAAAAAGCGGATGAAGCTGAAAAAGCGGATGAAGCTGAAAAAGCGGATAAAATTGAAAAAACGGATGGCGTTGAAAAAACAGGTGAAGGCGAAAAATCGAATGAAGTTGCAAAAGAAAATGATCCCCCAGCTACGGATCTGAAGACGGGCGAACTTAAGGCGGACCGCTCGAACGGCTCCAAGAAGAAAAAGTTCTCTCTCTTCAGCCTGGAAAAATTTGGCTTTAACTCCAGAAAGAAGGGCCAAAGCGGAAAAGCGGTCGAAAACGAGAACCGAAACAGCGGGGCGAGGGGAGACCCTCCTGCCAGCAGCCGCAGACCCAGCATTTGCGAATCCGTAGGAGAACCCAAAGCAGAGGAAGAAAACAGAGCTTCGTACTACGATGTGCCCATTTTACTAGAATATTGGCTCTTTATAAACATTTTAAAATTTTTAAACTTTTTTTTTTTCCGCAATTATAACAAAACCTCGTTCATGTTTGAGTATTTTACCCTGTTCGTAATATGCCTGAACGTTAGCGAAAAGTTGCACGAATTTGTCTTCCTAAAAGATTACAAATCATCCATCCTGGTTCGCATTTTGAAGAGTGTGTTAGTCAGCACAGTCGATTTTGTCTTATACACCTTATTCAACGTCAGACTGGAAAACGAAGAAAAGAAAGACAAGAAAAACGCAGAGCCCGATATGCAATATAACGAGAGAAGCAATTTACTAATTAGGATAACAAAAATAGTAAAGGATAAGTTGAAGTTAAACGAAACAGTTAAATTCAGCCTTACCTGTCTCAAGTCAGTCATTACAGAAAATGTGGTCGAAAGTGTTCAGCTGCCATTTTATATAAAAATTTTTCTTAACCTCTTAATATACATGCCGCAGCTTATCCTTTTAATTTTCCCGTCCTTTATCCTTAAAATATATTTTGCTTATTTCTTTTTTATTTTCCCAATATTTGGATCTCTCAAATGTTTAGAAGAAAAAAATTCAATACATAACAAAATTTACTTCATATGTTATTTTTTCTTTTACAACATTGCCTCGGCCACTGTAAACCATGCCTTTTTCAAGTGTTTGCCTTTTTACAATTTATACAAAATTTTAATTACCATATATGTTCAAACTGTTCTTAAATATATTTTTAATGTCCTCAAGGTTAAGAGTTGATTGCTTTCTTCTCCTCTCACCTGTTTTCTTTTGTTAATTGTTTTGCAACCTCCCCGGCATTTTGCCTCTTTTTTTTTTTTCTACCATACCTTTTCTCCCAATTTCGTTCTTATGCAACTTTACGCTATTTTATTTTATATTATTTTATTTTTTTTTCTTTTTTTTTTGTTCACCGTAAAAATATTAAAAATTAACAAAACTTGTTTCTCAAATTAGAAGACCATTTTAATTTAAACCCGGATGTGAAGCTGTGCAGGGGCGGGGGCCCCTTTTGGTAAATCTTCCCCCCTGAAGAGTGTATACAAGAGAGCACAGCCCACATCATGCATATAAAGTGTGCACAAGTTCAGGTAGAATCTGGTCAAAGTGGTATGCGACCCTGTCTAATATCTAACGCGTTTAAAACAGCCTCTCTTTTTTTTTCTACTTCAGGACGACGTGCTCTACACGTTAAGGTTTAGGCAGTTTTTGCGCTGTATATTTGGGATGAACTGTTCTTTTCTTATAAAGAAATCGGCAGAACTGGGGTCTCTCCCTTTTCATAACAACCCCTTCAACTGTGACATGTGCACATATACACCTTGAGCGGATTTCCTCCTCAGCGTTAGCGAAGTCCTGCACATCATCGTTCAAGTGGGGTGAGAAGCCTTCTTACGTGTGTCAGTTCGGGTGGGAATATTTCTACATGCACACCATTTTGGCCCTGGATCAAATTCCCCCTTCTACCTTATACAAAAAATAAAGGGCGTGGAAGAGTACAAAATGAGCAGCAGATGAGCGGAAAACTGAACATCGAAATAAACCACACTTGCGTGAGAATATACTGACGAAAAACACCCCAATGGGAAGAAGAAATGAATTCACACGGATTAGAGATCAGCGTTATCAGAGCGATGTAGTTGACTTGGATTTTCACATCCACGGAGAACGAGTCGATAAAAGTGGGCGTAGTAACTTCATGTCGAACAATCACAATCACAGATAAGAAAATGGATAAATAGAAAAAATAGCATGATATTAATTTAAAGAGTTAATGAAAAAAAAAAAAAAAAATAAAAGGTGCAAATTTTTGGAGCATCGAAAAGGCTTCTCCAATTTGGAGCACTGACGCGGCAAAGGGAAAAACATGAAATTAAAAAAAGGAAATTTCTTTTTTTAATAATCCGTTTTTTTCCCTGTTACGCAAAATGTGTAGATTTTCTCCTTTAAGAGATGTTTGCAAAAAAAAAAAAAGGCGCTTCACGTTGGGCTTCCCTTCTTTTGCTACGTCCCGGTGATTACATTAATCTAAGTCGTCGTGAGTTTTTATTTCTTGCACATACTCTTCCAAGTCTTTGTGCTGCTTGTCTTCATATCCCTCCACCAACTCGTCAATGAAATCTTCGGCTTCTTCATCGATGAGTTCACCATTGGAATTTCCCTTCGTGGACTTTGCCTCTGTCTCATCATCCTCGTCAAATTCTAAGTCAAGAGGGCCGCTATTCTCCATGGACTCTTTTAAACTGGCGAAGGAACTTTTGGACATAAGGGGATTAAGGGCATCCTCTATGTTGGCGTTTAATATATCGGCAGTCTTCAAGACAATATATTCGCATATGTTCCTCAAGTAATTTTTAAAGTGGCTTACATTTTCATCGTCCATGTCTTCTAAATCATAAAAAATCTTTCCGTCTTTTAAGAAGTCATTTAATTTGTCCTTTATTTTTTCTGCCAGCTCATCAGCTAGGTTATCCTTCACTTCATCTAAATCTTCTTTATTTGTTAAATAGCCATTTTTTACTAGATCCGTGAAAGTATAACCATGTTGGCTCCATTCAGTTGAAAGGATATTATCATTAACAGCCGAATTTGTCTTACTACGCGTCGAAGTAGTTGCTCTTTGCTCTGCTTTCATGCAATTGTACAGGCCGCTTTGCGAACTCAAGTACAGAATAAATAGGCTCGAAATGTTTAATACGGAAAATGCAATGTTCTTCATTTTTGATCAATTGGGTGTAATTATTGAAAAAAGGTAATACTGATTAGCAGTTCTTAATATCTATATCTAATTATATACGTTCGGATTAAAATGCTTTATGCGTTTGTTCGTATATATATATTTTATTATTATTATTTTTCTTTAATAGATATATAATTTGAAGTGCTTCTTCAAAAATAGGGACCTTATTAGTATTAACCGAATTGTTGGGTTTTTATAAATACGCAGGAGGTACTTTTAAATAAGCAATATATTTTTCTGAGAAGTTGCTAAATGGGAATTCTATATCCTCGTTTTGAAGCGATGTAGCAAAAGCGTTATCATTTTTATTCTTTTTTTTTTTTAGATAGCCTTAGAAAAATTATGTTTACCTAGCATTCTAGCGAAGCACTACTGCCTAAGCACGTCACCGTAATGATTCATTTTGCGTCACATTTTATGATTCTTGCAGCTTTTTATGCCATAATCACCGTTTATAACCAATAGGTCTCTTTGCCAGGGAGTCAGGAGGGTCAAACGAAAATGTAATATGCATGCGCAAAAATATATG